TGTTATAACGAATACACAGAGCTGGCCAACATTGTTCTGTTACACCAACAACTACCCATATTTGTACAAACATGTTATCACACCCACAATTACACAGAGCTGGACAACATCGTGTTGTTACACTAGAGGCTACAAAAGAAGGCAAAAAATCTGTTTACGCCATATGATAGCTAAAAAGTAAATTATTGCTACAGAATGAAAACAACCTAAAGAAACATTTGATTTTCAAAATGATATGTAAATGCTGCTTTATGACAACTGCTAAACTGAGAAACTTTGCTTTCAGAAATCGCACTATAAGAGGAATAAATAACAGATTTGAGAATGTTGTTTTTAACAAATCTAGAATAACACTTGTACTTGTAATATGCGCTTACAACCCTTGTGATGTAACGAGATATGTGTAAAGTGCCGCAAGTGTACACACAATGTTGTTAGATATGACCTTTACTTACTCTTATTCCATTGGATTCCTTTATCATATATCGTGAAGTTATATCTGTTCAGTCATTCATAATTACAATGTGTTCGTGTTTTGTGAACAGTACGTTAAATGTTTTACATACTAGCTGTTATGTAATTCTACTGTCTATTTTTTGCCACCGGGGATCCCAAACATATGCTATATTTAATCATGTAAATTCCTTAACTACGAACTGATAGATGATGAAATGCCCTGTAGAATTATGTCAGCATGTTGCAATGCATATAAGCAGGATTTGGCAATCACTTTGAGGGCACAGACGAAACACATACCTGTTCAACATCATGATGTTACACTAATGACTACAAGGAGCTGTTCAACATGGTGATGTTACTCTAACAAATACAGAGAGGTGTACAGCATCACAGTTTTAAACCAACACCTACATGGAGGTTATAAGCATCGTACACCACACCTACACATATTTGTACAATATCATGATATTACACTATCGACTTTCAAGAGCTGGATAACATCAGGACCCAATGACAACACCCCCTCCCCTGTGTTATAAGGGCTACACAGAGCTGTTTAAAACCGTGTTATAACGACTACACAGAGCTGGTAAACACCGAGTTATAACGACTAGATTGAGCTGTTAGCACCGTGTTATAACGACAACACAGAACTGTTTAAAACCGTGTTATAACGATTACACCCAGCAGTTTAAAACCGTGTTATAACGACTACACAGACCTGTTTAAAACCGTGTTATAACAACTACACAGAGCTGGTAAACACCGAGGTATAACGACTATATTGAGCTGTTAGCACCGTGTTATAACGACAACACAGAGCTGTTTCAAACCGTGTTATAACGACTACACACAGCTGTTTAAAACCGTGTTATAACGACTACACAGAGCTATTTAAAACCGTGTTATAACGACTACACAGAGCAACTTACATCGTGTTATAATGAATACACACATCAGTTCAAAACCGTATTATAACAACTACACACAGCAGTTTAAAACCGCGTTATATCAAATACACAGAGCTGTTTAACACCGTGTTATATCAAATACACAGAGCTGTTTAACAACGTGTTATAACGACTACACACAACAGTTTAAAACCGTGTTATAACGATTACACACAGCAGTTTAAAACCGTGTTATAATAAATACACAGAGCTGTTTAACATCATGTTATAACGAATACACAGAGCTGTTTATAACCGTGTTATAACGAATACACAGAGATGTTTATCACAGTGTTATAACGACAAAACACAACAGTTTAAGACCGTGTTATAACGACTACACAGATCTGTTTATAACCGTGTTCTAACGAATCCACAGAGATGTTTAACATCATGTTATAACGACAACACAAAGCTGTTTAAAACCGTGTTATAACGACTACACAGAGCTGTTTAAAACCATGTTATAACGACTACACGGAGCATTTTACAACCGTGTTATAACGAATACACAGAGCTGGCCAACATTGTTCTGTTACACCAACAACTACACATATTTGTACAAACATCATATTATCACACCCACAATTACACAGAGCTGGACAACATAGTGTTGTCACACTAGAGGCTACAAAAGAAAGCACAAAATCTGTTGACGCCATATGATAGCTAAAATGTAAATTATTGCTACAGAATGAAAACAACCTAAAGAAACATTTTTCAAAATGATATGTAAATGCTGCTTTATGACAACTGCTAAACTGAGCAACTTTGCTTTCAGAAATCGCACTATAAGAGGAATAAATAACAGATTTGAGAATGTTGTTTTTAACAAATCTAGAATAACACTTGTATTTGTAATATGCGCTTACAACCCTTGTGATGTAACGAGATATGTGTAAAGTGCCGCAAGTGTACACACAATGTTGTTAGATATGACCTTTACTTTTATTGGATTCCTTTATCATATATCGTGAAGTTATATCTGTTCAGTCATTCATAATTACAATGTGTTCGTGTTTTGTGAACAGTACGTTAAATGTTTTACATACTAGCTGTTATGTAATTCTACTGTCTATTTTTAGCCACCAGGGATCCCAAACATATGCTATATTTAATCATGTAAATTCCTTAACTACGAACTGATAGATGATGAAATGCCCTGTAGAATTATGTCAGCATGTTGCAATGCATATAAGCAGGATTTGGCAATCACTTTGAGGGCACAGACCTGTCTTTGTTAGTTTTATACTATCACTGACATAAAACACACACCATATGGAAATTTTGAGGAAAAATAAATCAGGAAATGTTTCTTCAGGTTACCTCCGTGTGGTTGTCTTTTCGATGTTTGAAAATAGGACAAACATGTTTGTATCGGTGGCCTAATAATAATTTGCTTTAAATGTACACAAGTGCGTCACTGGCCGAAGACAACGATGCACCAACGAGTACACAGAGCTGTAAAGCATTGCATTCGTTATCTTTCGTCTGTGCATGTGTCATTGTAATCAAGGGTATGTGTATAAATTCATTATCTGTATCGCTTTCAACTGTTCAATGTTGTTGACATATATCTAAGTTAAAAAATAAAATCAAACTTTCATTGACTTTGATGTTCAGCAGAAATACGGTCCCACTCAAAGCACTGACAGTTTTAGAAATAACAGAAAAATAAAAAGATAGTAATACGACATGTCCACTGCCGATACAGAGATCGTGACACATCATTACTTTAGAACAAAATAATTTGCTATTGATGCTGAATTGGTCAATATTTTTGTGTTGTTGTGTGTGTTTTTTTTCTGTTATTTGTTTGAATGACTCATCTTTGCCATTTGAATCGATAAATGACCAACCAGTATTCTACAACGATAGTTTATACTTTTTAATGTCGGAATACACAAATACTTACAGATCAAATCAAAGAGAAAAAGTAAGAAAGAAAAATATAGATTTGTCTTTGAAAGTTTTCCGGCTAAGATATTCATGAGATTAAGTAAAAAAACATTCAGTGTTTTAATGTTCCAAAGTTAAATTGAACTGAAACTTCTAGTCTTGAAGGTGAATTTTCAATAGACGAGACATGTAATATTCCAAAATATATGAATATATTATTAGAGTCTTGGTTCTGATGGTTTTACGCCTGGGTTGTTAAAATGTTTCTTGAAATGTCTTGATTTTTGTTGTTAGATCTATTTCTGTTTTCCAGTCTGCCAACTTTCCATCACACAAAGACAAAGCATTATAACCTGTATTTCCAAGGGAGATAAACCTCGTCAATTCATAAAAAAATCTCTTCTAAATATCACTTACAAAATAGCTTCTGGTGTTATCTCACAAAAGGTTAGGAAAGTTTTAAATAAATTCATAAATATTGCCAAACAGATTTCATGTCAGGGCGATATACAAGGTAAAATATCCGCACATTATATGATGTTATGGATTATTCTGGAGAAGAAAATATTCCTGGTATTCTACTCTCAATAAATTCTGAAAAAAATTGATTCTGTTTCATTGATGTTTATTGAAAAGGTTGAATTAATTTATTTTTGGAGATGATATTTAAAGATTGGTTAAAACACTTCATTCTAATATTTTCATCAATCATATCGCAATATATCTTCTATCGACATCCAACGTGAGAATAAAGTAATTATTTGGATGATTTAAGTGGAAAATGTACTTATTTTGAATTTACAGTATACAGATGATACTGATTTAGTGCTAGATGGGTCTTAAATATCGTAAAAGGAGTCTGTTGAATTAAATAGGTTTTTTTTTTTTTAATCGCGGGGCATAAAATATATAACCGATAAAACAAATCATATGGTTTTGTAGTAAAGCGTGCAGCAGAGGCACTTAGAAGCATTAGATTCTCCTTTTTGGGAACTGACTTTTCTGTTGACTTGACTGAAATCCCTGAACGGAATTATAATAAAAAATAGTTAAATTCTAATCTTCAATTATTGCATGGTATAGCAAATTTGACTCCTGTATGCAAAATAAATGTCATAAAATCTTTATTGATATCTCAGCTCAATTACTTGTTTATTACTTTATTGAACCCTTTACAGAGATATTATAAAAATTGATTTCTCTTATTTCTGCATTTCTTTGGATTGAAGGACTACACAAGATAAAAAGAGATGTTGTTATTCAACATTATTTGGATTAAATCTCTTAGACTGGGATGGGATTGCAGGTTATTCAGTTCAGACTGAATATGTCGTAAATTACCATATTTACAATTGTAAAGGGTTTGCCCAGCAGGACAACTTGTTTTTATTCTTCAGGTAATGTTTCAAGTTTGTAAGAGTACATCGTTTCACATGATCATAGACTCGAAGATGTCATCCCCCGCCTTTTAATATATATATTATGAAATGAACGGAATTTAACAACACCCTTTGGTGTTACATATTTGACACTGATGCCAAATCATATCTGGTTAATATTTGGCAGTGTTGTGATAAGTAGTTTTTGAAACACTTCATAAGATACGATGAAGTATGAAAACATGTTTGTGTTTCAAGAATATTACTGCGTGTACACTCACTCAGGGCTGAACATGCCTCCCTCGGTAGGTCGTCAATACTTTATCAATTTGCATTGCCTGGCAAAGGTTTTACAGTTATAGGTAGCCAGACAATACCTACTTTGACCGAGCTTTGACCTTGCCATTTTCACGACTTTCTCTGGTTCTTTACATGTCCCATTCAGGTACTCGACTTTGAACAGTGGTGTAGAAAAGGGTATCCACTCTTCGACAATTCCGGCCTTGTATTTGTTACGAATCACTTTAATGTTGTCGCTCCCATTGTGTTCCACGACGATGGCATGACACCGCGGATGTAGTATCCAATCGAATACAACTATATGGTCGCCATATTGCAAGTCTAAAATATTAGTTACTGTTCTATCATCGGATTTGAATGACGCTGAAATTGCCTTTCCAACGAAACATCCAAGATAAGTACCGATAAGTTTGAGTGCTTCTCCGCCTAAAACCCCTCCAAGGACACCACCAATGATAATACCTACTGGGCCAAACGGTGATACCAAGGTGATCCCGAGTGATCCTGGACCTAGAAAGGACGACACAACCACCCCCGCACTCACAATACCGTCAACCACTCTTCGGATTGCTGTTTCGATAAAATCGTTCCTTGATATGTTCCCTTTTTCCCTTTCTCCGTACGCATTCTTCAAATCCCAAATGACGAACCCCGCTTCAAGGATTATCACAATCCCAGTTGCAACCAGGTTAATTCCTTTGACGGCGTATCCAATACTTTCTGCCGGAACGACTTTCCCAGTCACCTTCTTCGCGACAGAAACTGTATTCTGTACAAATTTGCATGTTCCATTGAAAGTCGACCTGGCACTCGTAACTACATTTTGCCCGATGTACTCGTTCAATTTTCCTTTAAACCAAGTTAGCTGGTGTGACTTTTCGACGCCTGTTTTGCAGTAGGTTGCGAAGGATTCACAATTGTCTGTAAAAGGAGAATACCCCGTATCATTTATTCTAGACCGTGCTCTTGCCAACACCAGTTCCGGATCGTTCGTCTTTGTTATTTCCACAGGGTAATCAATACGGTACATTTTATTGAAAAGTCCTTCTTCGCTGGCTTCCACTTTGAAACAGCTGCGTAAAATTTTAATGAGACGATTCTTTATGTTCCAATGAATTAATATGAGTTCGTTTTTTTCAGCAACAACTTCCTCCACAATGGCATGGTGCCAAAGACAGTACTTTCTGTGCCAAGAAATCTGGTCTCCTGGTTTCAGGATATCAGCGAAATATTTCTGGTCTATTTTTGTTTTTGAACTTTGAACTTGAAACGCTCTGTTTTCGCTCAAATTCGGGGTAGGTCGTGGAAGCATCTGTATTCTTTCACGACTGCTTTCTTCATCTACATCAACATCGCTGCCTACTAAATATTCACGTGTGAGGTTTTCCGTGTTACATTCCGTACAAAACAACCCGATCAGCTTGTTTTCACTGTTAAGGTAGCGTCTCAGTTTGAAGGTATCGCGCCGTTTGCACAAACATTGAAAGCCAAATCTAGCGAAATCCCTGCCTGTATCCGACATGCTGAACGTCTGTAACACAAAAAAAAACATATAGTAGTTGTCGATAATATTGTGTGGAGAAAAATTAGGACTGTATACTTATATATGAATATATTCATGAAAAGACTTCAATGCATATTACAAAAATCTATTGATTGCAAGAGTATAATGAACACAATAACGAAATGAGATATCAATGTAGCATAATAGTAAGATAAATCATGACATAACATTGCTTTTGAAGAAACTACCGAAGACTTTTATTCTGTATGCAATTTGAAAGAAAGATTGTGAATAATCATGTGTAACTACTTGGACAGACAGACAGGCAGACAGACAGACATTCTTTATTTCCTCGTTAATCGAGATTGATAGAGAAAAAAACCACAACAAAAAACAAGAATATTCACACTATTTCATGAACGCCATGCATTGCGTCGTTGCTTTTTTTCATTCGGCAACTAAAAAATCAGTCATTTCATTGGACATTGTGTTCATAGGCGTGCATTTTTGCACACGGCCCCGCGCACCTGCGGTGGCGCACGTGACGAGTGTCAGGACCTTGTGACTTTTTCTAGCCGACCCCGGAGGTAAGGATGTTATTTTGAGTTAAGATACATTATCTGCTAATATCTCTTAAACTGCCGCCCATCCTTCCATGATCACATAATGTAAGGTTAAAATGAACACCTATTGTTGTATTTCCGGGTATATTTTTCCATTTTAGGTGTTAATTTCGTGATATTTTGACTTAGTCATTTCGGGTATCGTTCGCGGGTGTTGGCCATGTGCCGTTGTAGCATGGTGTCATAGCACTGTAACAGTGGCTTGAAGTTGTTACCTGGTCGACCTAGAGAGACGTCAGTGAGGTTTTTACGGGTGGTAGACCCGTTTTTCACGTGTAGGACGTGGTTAAGGTGTCAGGGAACGAGAACTTTACAGCATGTTCGCGAGGCCGGCACGTGGTCTAGGAACGAAACCCGACTACAAGATTTAGGGGATTAGCTTAATGGTTATTTCTCCCACTGTTGGCCAGTCCTTGTTTTGTATTATTATTTGTGTATTTGTCTCTTGTTACGTGTAATAAATTGTTGAACTTTATTTCAGTCTAAGTTATCTGTCCATTTGTTAGTGTCGTCGTCTGTATTTTCATGAGGAATCTGCAAGCGAAAGCGGCAGTGTGACAGGTTGTGTCGCGGCTGACCCGGGCAATTACGATTGACGGGGCGGACTCGGCCAATTTCGTTACAGATGTATAACACTAAGATCTCCTAAAAGGAAACTACACTGCTCCTGCTCATCCAAGTTGGAAAACACAGCATAGTCATTGAAGTCAATAATGTTAACTATTTGATTAAATAACAAATCCCTACTTTTGTATAACTTTGGACATAGTATAAGGAAATGAAGAATTATATTGTCTGACTTTTTTCCACACAACCAACATATCACCGTCTCTGGCTTGGCTAATTCGCAGAAATGTTGCATCCACGCATTCCTCACTTTATCAGAGTCGCGTATAATTTTACCGTCAACACGACGTTCACGTGATGTGACCTTTCTGTTAGAGTAGAGTGTGACGACACGTCGATCGTGAGTTCGATTTTACATACAGGTAAACATGTGTGCATGCATATACAATCATTCAGTTTATTTCCAAATGCAGTACAGCATATAGGATTTACAAATCAGGGTACACAACAATATCAATACAGTTTATGCAACATGACGGTGGAGAACACTACACACAATTAAAACGTAAATAATTTCATCAGGTATTCTGACAGTAGCAATTGTTTCCCAATTAATTTCGATTTGATCTCACAAGATTTTCTAACTTATGAGATACAAATAATTGTAATCAACTTATTGGATACAGACAATTTTACGGATTTATAATATAGTTATATAATTTGTAGTTAAATTACAAAAATAGTCATGCCTTACATCATCATCATCATCATCATCATCATCATCATCATCATTATCATCGATGTTAATTAATCATCATCATCATCGTCATCATCGATGTCAATTCATCATCATCTTAATTATCATCATCAACAACAACGTCAATTATCACCATCATCGACGTCATTTCATCATCATCATCGATGTCAATTCATCATCATCAATTCATCATCATCATCATCTTACTTATCATCAACAACAACGTCAATTATCATCATCATCGACGTCATTTCATCATCAACATCATCATCATCAGCAGCAGCAACTTTGATTCAAATCAGTTCAAATTCAAATCAGTCGAAAAAATTAAAACCAATATCATAAACATGTATTTAAGATGGCGTAGAACACAACAGACACAGTTAAAACATAAACCTCTACATTCATTTATAAACACTCAAATTTACTAACTTGTTCTAGCATTAAGAAGTAAAGTTCTTCTTGTCAAAGCATAACTTAAGTATTTACTGAGGTTTCTCAGCGTTTTAACATTTGTAACTGCCAATAATTCAGTTAATTTATGTACAGATGGACGTCGATAATAATACGGTTTAATATATAATGCTCTTAAATCTGAGTATGTTGGACATAATAAAATAAAATGAATCTCGTCCTCCATTTCTCTTTTGTCACATAATATACAATACCTTAGAGCTCTGGGTATACCATGGTATCTACCGGTCTCAACGTTTAGACTATGTGCCTGAATCCTAAACTTAGAGAGGATATTTTTAGATTTAAAAGTCAAAGACTTACGAAGATAAAACTGCAGTTCAAACCGGTCAACAATATGTTTATATAGTATACACTTGGATGAATTTTCAAAACTGTTTCTTGTCTCTTGAATGAAAACATCATGTAACCGTTGAGTATATAGCATCAAAAAATGCTTTTCATTTGAAATACACTAAGTCAACCAAACATCATGAAACCTTAAACTACTAAGCTCTTGCTTTACATGGTACATAAAATTCACCTTAAATCCAGGTTTTCTTAGATTTAGCTCTACAAGTTCATTATAACATGACTTTAAAACACAACTATCGGTATGCAGTAATTTAAGCCAATATTTCATAACAGCTATTTTACGATCTATTAACAAAGGGAAACGACCCAGCTCATGGTAGACCATAGAAGAATTCACGTTCTTTTTAACACCCAACACATTTTTTAAGAACAATAGATGTATTTTCTCTAACTGGGGTGCCGGACTAAAACCCCAAATTTCACATGCATAATTAAGTAAACAGGAAATATAGGTATCAAATAATGACAACTTCGTTTCACAATTTAACATGAATCTTTTCATTCTTCTGTTTAACAGGAAATAAGCTTTTCTACCTTGCACAGCAAAGTTATCCAAAGCAATACTAAATTTACCATTGAAGTTAAAAAATAAACCAAGGTAACAAAATTGATCAACCAACTCAATGGGCGAACCATTGTAATTCCAACGTTCATTAGGGTAAATATTTTTACTTTTCCTGATTACCACAATTTTCGTTTTGTCCAAATTAACATCTAAATTCCACCTTGCAAAATAAGAATGTAGAAAATCTAACATCTTTTGAAGGTTGTCTATATCTTCCGAAAACAGGACAGTATCGTCAGCATACATCAGTATGAACAGGTTAATCAGCTGCAACTCGTAGCTTTGACAATTGGAATTGATTAATTCAGACTCTATGTCATTAATGAACAAAGAAAATAAAATCGGGGACAAAGATTCCCCTTGTAACAAGCCGACATGGAGGTCGCACATAACAGATAGTTTACCATTCAACCTGACACAAGACTTAACATTATCATATATAGATCTAACAATATCCAATAATCGACATCTTACTCCAGCTCTCCATAACTTAAACCACAACTTTTTATGAGATATACTATCAAATGCCTTCCGGTAATCAACGAAGACACAATACAACCTTTTGTTATTTTGTAAAGTCTTAGTAATCAAACTATTTAAAACAAATATTGCGTCTCTCGTCCCAAATCCCGGCCGAAATCCAAACTGGGCGTCTGAAACGAAATTTTCATTTTCACTCCATGTTAACAATCGCTTATTTAAAAGAGAAGTAAAAAGTTTTGCTACATGGCTAATAAGAGTAATACCTCTATAATTATTAACATTGTTCTTGTCACCCTTTTTGTGTAGAGGTACAATAACACCTTGTGCCCAAACTTTAGGAAAATAACCTACTTGAAAAATAGTGTTAAACAACTTTAATAATACAGGTGCAAATAATTCTTTATCTTCAACAAAATACTCGTTAAGCAACATGTCCATGCCAGTCGATTTCCCCTTTGGGAGGCATTTGATTGCTTCAAGTAACTTATGTATACTAAATTCATCATCGAGCTCGGCATAAACACACTCATTGTTATCAATAATTACATCATCATGTCGAATTGTGTCCATTGGATTATCAGATAAATCACTAAAATATCTAAAAAAATTGTCAAGAGACAAGTTACCGGTACCACCTAACTTACGTTTCGAAAATTTTTGATAAAAAGACTTTTGGTCGTTACGCTTTAAAGCGTCCATCATATCGCCCTCCATTTGGAGGTACCTAAGTTTCATTTTGACCTCATAACTTTTATAACTTTTCTTGGATCTGGTTAAATTAACCCTATATTGTTCAGACTTACAACTATTAAAGTGATAAAGTGCAGTTTTATAATTATTGTATAATCGTTGACATTACCTATCAAACCAAGGCTTGTCAGGCTCTTTTGATTTACGAAAAGAAGACTCATGACAAGAAAAATTACAGGTCCTGACAGTTTTGCTCTGACAACAGTAACGGTCAAACAAAAAATGAACATTTTCTTCAAATACAGCAAGACAACGATCGATACTTTCACTAGTATTATCGAGCCCATTCAAGGCATTACTGATCAGATATTGATTATCATACACAAATTGTTCTGACTTTTCCTTGTGATCACTAGACCAAGAAACAGATCTTACTACAGAGTTCTTACTTCCATCATTGCAGCAATCACAGCCTTCAGTATTTACTTTTAAAGTAAGCAATAAA